AGTTGCGCATACCTTTTCCTTCCAACGCTCGCGCCGCTATTTGGCGAGCGCTGTCACGTGATGCAAAGTGACGTCAAATGTTTCAATTTACGCAGCGAAGCCAACTTTAAGTGCACGATGGCGCGGCGCCCACGCTTGCTTTGCCCGCACAGACTTCAGCCTCATCGCGACTGCCATTGGGAGTTTTATCTTGTATGTCTACGATTGGCGTTACCATGTTACCGGATAAAGTCTGCGCATGCGCGGGTCTTTACAGAACGTAAATATTTACATAACGTAAATTACCCGCCGGGTAGGCTTCACGTTTACGGCGCTGTTTCAGAAACCCGCCTTTGTTCGCAAAAACTCGCAATATCCGCATTGCGGAGACACCCGGCATCGTGTCGAAATAAGCCGAAGTGCGAGCGCAAATAGCGATTACATTGTTTCAGCCGGGTTAACAAAACTAATATGGCTAAAACATGAAAGCCGTAAACGTGTGAGCACCCAACAGACTTGATAGGCTGCGTCATCTAGCGGTCTCAAAAGGAACCAGGAAATCACAAAATTGTTTTTTGCAGAAACATTGTGCATTGTACGTCTGGAGTATAAACCGCGCTGCGGCGTTATCACGAATGAGTTACGCTTGTTAATCATTTTCACTTCACTCGTTTAATTGTTGACTTTGACTTCCCGAAACCACCAAATTTTAAAAGAAGTCATCGTAGTGTATACGGCTCCGGAAATTTCGACCACCTGGGATTCATTATCATACACCTAAATCTAAGCACACGGGCCTCAACTATTTTCGCTACCATGCTCACTGACATTTTCGCTAACATACCGCCTCATTGCAACTATGCAATATTGTTCAGCGCGTTCGAATGAGCCTGGGGCACGCCGCCCGCGCCAGACCATCGCGCCTATTTATTTATTTTTTTTTTTCTGCGTGTGGCTTCACTGCACAGCCGTAGAACGCGGACCTATGCGTAACTCTGTTCCCGTAGGGAGCGGTGGGGCTCGCGTTTGCGCGCGCACCGCGGTATGGGTTGGGTACGCAACGCCGCCCGCCCCCAAGCCCACGTCGCCCCAAGAATTTGCGTACCCAGCACTCAAACTCTCTAGTAGCTCTAGCCGAGGTCACAGCTTTTATTTGGGACGCAGGCGTAGGCGCCGCTGCAGCGTCCAGCCAGGCTAGCCGTTCTATAGGTGCCACGAGCTACCGGCGCTCGTCTTCTTTTAAAGACGAGTCTTTCTTGGGGACCTTTGACGCAAAAACTTTGGTCTGTCTGTCTGTACATTTGTCTGTTTGTCCACCCTTAACGGTACCGGGTATTTTAAGTGGTACCGGGTATTCGAAGGGCAGTATCGCGATAGTATTTCAGAGATACTTTTGAGTATTACTGTATCGAGATACTTTTCAAAAATGTATTGGTATCTCAGTAATGAAACACCTTTACCATGTATCTGTACCATGTGCCCGTATCGTCTCATGTATGTATCCGGACCATGTGTCCGTATCATGTGCCGTACCTTTACCATGTGCCCGTATCGCGATACTATCTAGAACAAGGGTATCTCGTTACATTTTTTTTTGAAACAAGCTGAGACGTGTTTACAATGAAAAAAAAAATGTGCTGTGACCTTGGCAGTCTGCGGCGAGATATGCACCCACCATTTCTACTGAGGGCGAAACTGACTCCTACCTTCTTAAAAGTGAGCTACTCGCTTTGCTACCCGTATCCCATTGTGCACCTTCAGACATAACTGAAATGCGTTTGAATGATTGCCTGCTTGAGCTTGCCAATAATGTTATACTGCAATTTTGAATTCCAGCAGTAATATTTTCATTGTGAGAATCATTGTATACTGCACAATGGGTGCCAAACAACAGCGTCGTTTTTAAAATGTGTTCCTTCAGTTTGAAAAACCGGAGCTTATCATGGAAGCCACAAACCACCCAAGGAATTTGGTGAGTGGTGCCATGAACTATCAACAATACTTCCTTCTCCAAAGCATTTCTGGAAGACGCCAGCGTGGCCACACGTGGTGATTGGAAGGTCTTTTTGTGTTTCCTTTCACATTCCTTGTTTTGTTCGTTCTTCTTTCTGCTTTTTCAATGTTTCTAGGAAATGCTAAACCTTCAACTGGAAGTAAGCGCTCGTCTTCATTGTTTATGTGTTCCACTCCTGCTTCGTGGTAGGCCACTTTAGCAAAACTGGAAACCAACTGGCCTGAACCGCTAGTCTACTAAGTAGAAGTTAGTTGGAAGTAAACACCACCATCACAGCAGCCGCAAGGAATTCAGGAGCCTTACTTTCTTTGTTCAGTCAGACACATGCTGACCATCGTAAAAAAAAAAAAGCATACCTTTTCTCAATCCGTTCGTTTATGGTTCCAGCACTTCGCTTGAACTACGCTACTTTTAGCATATATCACTGTTGCCGCCAAGTATCCCGAAGTTGGTCTACAATGCGTGTGACTCTTGCTTTCATACAGCATAGTTTTTTATTGCAACTGCTATCAGTAAATATGTCGTTATTAACAATTATGTGAAGTGTAAGCCTCCTTCGTAATGCGTAATGGCACTCAGAGTACGGTGATATAATAATGAATCAATTTAATTGCAATTTTCTATGCGCTGCGCATTTTAAATATGATGCTGCACATAACAAATGTCTTACGGAGCATGACTATCCCCGACAATTCAGTATCTGTATTGCGGAATACTTTTTCCGTCTTTCTGCAAAAGTATCTTTGAAATATCCCGTTACGTCAATTGCAAATGTATCCTAGTATCTGTATTTTAGGCTTCCAAAGCATGTATTTCGATATCTGTATTCTGAAATACTTTTCCGGGTATCTCTGCCCAGGCCCATACTTCATCGGTCGTCGAAGAAGCACTACAACGTCAAAAAGAGAGCGAGCGAGACAAAACCGGGTGTTTATTGCGAACACACGCAACAAAACGCGTGTAGATTATCGCGACCAACAATCCTCCGGATATATTGCACGCTGTCAGCGGGCAGAGTTTTCTCGACGCTTGCGAGTGGCCCGCGCTGGCGAGCGAGTTTGTCACTGCAGGCGACGTTTGGGCCTGACACTTGACGCGCAGGGGAGCTCATCCGAGCGTGTCGAGGGTTGGCAGCTGCTGTTGCCACGCACCGACGCGCTTCGGCAGGGGAGACGACGACAGCTTGTGCCGACTGAGACGGATGGGTGGCTCCGTCCCTCTTTGCGCATACAACGGAGGCAAAAATTAGTTTCTTCTCAGGTGTCCTCCTCTCGGCGAAGTCAACAGAGCGAGAGATTGAAACAACGCCTGGCCCTCAAACTTAATATCTGGCAATCGCGGCTGAAAAGAAACAACAACCGTGTATTCATTACAAGAGGCAAAACCGCTTTGGGGAGGACGAGACTGCGGGCTCCGCCATTTCGCGGCAGCCACGTGACAGAGATTGTACACATTGTGCTTTGCACTCATCCGAGTACAGCAGACGACTTTGGCGCTCCCTTTAGCGTGGTGTCGCGATGAGTTGGTTTCTTCACGACCGTGCTGCCAGGACTTCTGAATGATTTCTTTATTGAGCATGCAACGGGTACGTCACAAATTAGGACAGGAAGATCGGAACATTTTGTCCATACAACAGTGATGTAGATACCCACTGTTTGAAACGGAGATAGAGACATCACTGATAAGGAAGCGTTCGCTATCGTCGGATACAACTTAGCAAGCCCGGAGAGCGCAGAAGACCTAAGAGCGGCAGCCGAATAATCCCGCCTTTCATGGACTTTCCGATATTCCCCGAAAGCGAGGTTCATGGTGTCAGTCAGGAGTCTCGGGTGCATTCATCCACCGCGGACTTTGAAAGTTGTATCCGACTACAGACAAGCAAATAACAAAGCATGTGTGGCCATTGGTGTCATTCTAAATCATGTCCAGGTCCTCCAACAATGAGACCTGAGGAAGTGCGTAGCATATGGACGTATCTCGTTCGTATATAATGTCCACTGCACGATTCACCAGACCGCCGATGACGTCAAGGTCTGGCGTGAGCATGCACGCCACGAGTAGATCTTGTTCGGAAGATAAGCAAACTCGGTGTGCACTTTATTAGCTGCGCTCTATCGACTTTCTGCCGGCAACTGAGGTCGTGTGCAGTGAGCTTCCCCCAGGAGACACTCGGCGAGCCTCTCTCTTGCGCGTCGCGGGTGTTAGCCGCAAGTTTACAGTGGGCTTTTAGCAATTTCAAGTTGATTATTGCGATTACTTTTTGGTTATTTTCTCTGTTAATATCGGTTCATTAATTTTAACCTGGCTTTGAGCATCGCCAGCCTTGTATTAGGCCATTTTATTGCGAGCGTGGCATCTACGGACGACTAGCCGCTCTCAAATAGCACTCCCCAAACAGATTAACCACCATAGCCAGGTTTCTCATACAGAATGCTTATGAGATAACATTTTCAGCAACCTGTTTTCTACGTATGCAGAGTGCGTATAAGCTCAAGTCACATCAGCCCACTGACTGTAATGCACCTTAATTTTACGTATTCAGTCAAGCATGTCGAAGGAAGTGAATCATATATACACATCCCTTGCATCGTGGGAATAGCCGGCTAAGCAGCCAGCCAGTCTGTTTATTTTTGCCTTGAGCAAAGCGTTACGAGATGGATCGCCGTGTTTTTGTGAGTGCAACACATAGCGGGCTTACCGGGCACAACCTCGGTTCTACTGAAACGATGCAGTGAGACGGTGCGAATGCCATACGTAACATTCGCTAGCGTATTCCTCTAGGGCCAAGCAACGCTTGTATGTATAACTTTCTGAGCACTACATGTGTAATGAGCGTATGGTTATAAAAACCTAGCCGCATCTTGCATGTTCACCGTTACATGGCGCATACGGACGTGTGCCGCACGTGAGTGGTACGGCACAGTGATGTTCGTCATGCCCTCGTACGCCGGCTTGTACCAAGAAGGCGAGCAGCGGCTAAATAGATGCCCGTGCTGACCGTAACCTGTCAGCGGCACGAGTAGAGGCGAACTTTGCTCTCGCACGTGTCGCACGTCACGTAGCAGCACCAGTGGAAGCGGCATCGGCAGCGCTGCAGTCGCCGCAGCGTGCGCGTCTCGAATCCTCGGCCGCAGCAGATGCGGCCGCACGACGTCGGCTCGGCGCACGGCCGTCCCTGGCTGCCGGGCACGCCGGGCTCCGGGCGGCAGAAGTCCGGCGACGGCCGCACGTGCACCAGGTCCGAGGGCCGCGCGCGAGGGTCTCCCGGCCGCCGCAGCCGCACCGAACGCCGGTAGCGGCTGCGCAGAAGGCGCCCCACCGACGCCAGCGGCGACAGCGTGCGCCAGCACGACCGCAGGCCGCACGAGCCCGACACGCCGTGGCTGCATGCGGTGCAAGGACATCCGATATAGAGCAGATCATCGCATCTAGGCCCGGAAATGCACAAAACTCAAGAGTGATTTTCCGCGTTATTTGTGGCAGCAGACATTACGTCGTCTAGTTTGGCATCGTAATTTTCCGCCAGCAAGATACATGGGGAGCGGTGAAACAGAGATTGTAATAAAACATACCTCGATTGAGTTTCGTGCATCCTAGCGAGGTGTGCAAGCACCAGTCGACGCCAAGCAATCAACTGACGTTTCGGTTCAATTGAGCACACGCAGTGCGGCAACAGTAGCTTGTGAGTAAAAAAAATCCCGCGGCGCGAACACGAATCGACGGGTGCCCATGTCAGAGTCTGCGCGTTTAGTCGACAGCGACCGGTATTCCTCCAGCTGCGAGAGCTCATCGAAACAGGCGACGACTTTTGCACTGAGAAGTGCCCCTTGGACTGTTTAAAAAGAAACTCGGTGCGCACTCACCGAAACATGCCTTCCTCAAAAACGGATATTCATTGGCCGTGGTTTTGTCACGTAACACTCCAGCAAATATTATTAACGATGTGATTATTGCATATGTGTATTTTTATTGTATACCAATTATCAAGTGCCAGAAGTCTTGTTGACCCCAAGACTCTTTTTGAATGAAGAACTAGGCGAACGAAAAACGCTATGCAAGGGAGGCACCCAAGGGAGGTCGGAACAGACTCCGCGCGACTGCAAAGCACTTCGCGAGACTTGGTGGCTGAAAACAAAAGAACACTCACCATGATTCCGTCGATACTTCTAAACGCGGGTAGTGCACCAATAATATTCTAAATTCTCAAGGACCTAAGTGAAAATTAATGAGATTGGGCACTTACATATTTCCACTTCTATGTAGGGGCTTCACTTTTGCAGTTACCCAGTCATCCGGAACTTGACCGCAAAGATTTAGAAAAAAAATAATTTCTAGATACGTTAACACCACAAAGCGCGTTCAGTGCCGAGCTGTAAATAGTTAGCTCTCGTCCTGTGTGTGTTGTTTTCGTGCGTCATTTGTGCGTGAGCAGCGCGCTGCACGTTTCGATCCGTTCTCAGCGTTACATTCCAAGTTGCTGCTATCGCATTCATTTCTTCGCCCTTGCGGCGAAACTGTGAAAATCCTGCTCCAGGCACGCACTATTAACGCGCCGGCCACGGGCACTTGTTGCACCATAGCCACGAGGCGCTGCTGTCTGCTCAACGTTGCGCGCCCGCTGTCCCAAACTGAAACGGGGGGAGGGCCCAAACATCTATAGTGAGAGCACACCTGCTAACATAACATTGGCTTCTGCAGGCTCGTGTTCACGTATACTTGCTTTTATAAAAGCAAGTTTCTGGAAGGGACATTGAAAAACAGGTACAGGCTGGTGTCCAGGAGGCTCGGAGGCAAACAAGAGTGCGAATGCCCTTCCTGGAGGGCTCGCGGACATTCCAGGAGGAGGACAACGAACCATTCTTGATAGTGACGCCTGCGTGAAATTATTGCTCACCAGCGAAGTACGAAACAAAAATGCAGCCCCCCCACCTCCACTCCACCCACATATCATTAGAATGGGAGGACACCGTATCCCTTTACCTAGATTTTAGCGTGGGGTCTGTCCAAACTAACAAAAATCAAATGAAAATTTCGCAACTCTGCACGTGCCCGCCTGTCCTTGGTGTCGCTCAATGACATTTCGTGGAGATGCCGAAACCAAATTCTAATTCTTCTTTTGGTCAGTGTAATCCGTCTTTCGAGCAATGGAAGGCACAGCTCGGCCGCCAATTCCGACACTGTGGTTGCGCTCTGGGGTCATCATCATGACAGGCGGCAATGGCCAATCGAGCACTGGACTTGTTTTGTTAATGGGGATTACCTGAGTTTAATAACCGTTGTGTACATAAATAGGTGAGGCTCCATGATGTAGGAATGCAGAGCGAGAGTGTTGTTCAGAGGCGGGGGACGGAACCGGAGGGCTAGGCGCAGCTTGATATTTCAGCTCGAAGTTGACAGAGGAGAACATAAACACTGGAGGAAGCGGAGAATCCCGAAGCAGCGTGCGACTTGCAGGCGATGGTTGAGCCATCTCTAGATCTTTCTTGTAACAGGACGTGTGATGTGGGCGTCCCTTCGGAAAGTATTAAATGATAAAGAGCAGTGTTTCTTGCGCTGCCAACGTTCAGGAAGCCATCCTAGGTTGAGCAACCTCCTCCTATCTTTAAAAAAAAATGCAGTGTTTACCAAGCTGTACTTGGGGTCTCCCCTCCCTGAACGTGTGTGTGCCACATAGATTGATCCACTGGTTTACTAAAAATCCCGGCAAACACCAATTTCTGCACAAGCGTTATAAACCATAACTACCCGACAAAACCTTGCCTCACAAAATAGCTTTTGGAGACAGAAGTAAATGCCTTAACTTTGCTTTGAAGAGATAAATGCGACAGCGATATCCTGTGCGCACTAAGCGCATATTTTTTATTGTAGGGTGTTACTCGAAAAGTTTAAATTGTGGATTACAGCAATCCACTCGATGAAGTGTCTGTGACGCTTTCTAATATGATTGCATTCTGCGTAATGGGTAGCATGTTTTAAACTACGAGCAATCATGCGAATGAATGAGTTGAAACTTCATTGCTATGCACCCACTATGTAGTTTTGAGGAAATGGGCGCAGTAACGTGTCGGTCTTTTGTAACGAGTCAACAGTTTTAAACTACCAAGTCGTTATGATATTCCCAAGGTTTGACGATCGATCGCTTGTACCACGCAATGCTACAGCGATAACACATGTTGTACTGCGAATCCTGTATCCAGGACGCGTGCAAATCGCTGCATTTGCAAGCACAGCAAGTGACAGTATTTTCAAAAGGAGCTGCGTGGTGAAACACCTGCTTGCCGCGCAAACATCTCTGAGTTGGAAATATTTCTTATTTTTTCACCTGTATAGATGTTTCGCTCACAACCAGCGACGCCATGATTTGTGCGAAAACGAGCTCGTTCAAGCTGTGGCATACCAGCGGCAACGCAGGCGCACTCTGGAGGCCAGCGCGATCCTCCCAGCCCGCAGGTTGTGCAGGTTGGCCGCCTGCCGCAGGGGCTCGCTGCTCCTCGAGGAACGCTCGGCTGCTCGGCCCAGCTGACGTGACACGCGCAGGCCCGCCTGGGAAAAAAAGAAATTACGACGTTTATTAGCTAGACCTCGCACAGGCAGAGTGCGCACACTCACAATGACACACGGTGGCGATGAGAACAGATAGACAAACGTATAATGATAATGCATAGGCCATGAAGAAGTACACAACCAATGTTCACACTAATCACCCCCCTCCCCCGTGGGAGCGGACATCCTGGCCCCCGTAAGTCAAAGTGACGAGGAACTTAGAAGTGTGGCAGCTTGGGCTAGTTGGTATGACATAACGATACTTATACCGTGAGAACAGAACGACGACACAGAGACAAGTGTCCTTCTTGTCTCTGTGTAGTCGTTCTGTTTTCGCGCTATAACTATCGTCATAACCAGGAACGTCGCGTGAAGAGTTTTATACGAGAAACGTGGACTGACTCGGTGCTGCGGTAGCGGTGGTCTGTTGAGACGACAAGTGGTGTCACACCATAATTAACTGTTCAAGTCTGTTTCAAAACTATGTCTACCCCAATGAAGCGTGGCTGAAACTTGTCACAGAGACCAGGGGGGCAGATAGGGGTCAATAGCAGCATCTCGTCACGAGGTCGGAAAAATAGAACGCGATGGCATGCGTCATAAATGATCTTCCGCTCTTGTTGTCTCGCTTCAGTGTTTATGCGAGACTGGGACAGTCAGCAAATGTGCTCTTCGCCGGATGAATTAACACCGCTGTTAAAGGAGGATCGTCGAAATAGTAGGGAGAGACGTCCGCGAACGAGGTATACACAGAACGGCGAGTAGCCAGTTGTGCGCTGTAGGCTAATGGGGGGCATTCCAATGCCTCGTTGGACGGCTATCCTGTGAGCAAGAGTACAAAGAAATCTCTCGGTCATTGTTCTGAACTGTCGGCCGTTACTCTGAACGAGACAGAATTCACTTCGATGGGAGGCTAGGTCATGAGGGTGGACATGAAGAGGGTGGGCTGGCGACTTGCAGGATGCGCAGTATCATTTTTTGGGGGGAGGGGGGGGGGCACGCGGGCCCTTTGGGGTCCAAAATAGCTAGAAACGAGGTAAACAACCAGGGGGACTCTTTGACAGGTGGTATAGCCAGATGAGATCCCAAAGTGACACCAATATCTAAGACACGTAGAGTCCGGGGAAGAAATCGACGTAGGCACGAGGGCAGAGCAAATTTAGACCTATAGGGTATATTAACATGCAGGTTGACAGGAATAGGCTGAAGTGGGAAGAGATAGAAGAACAGCTAAGGGAAGAGAGACCGATGGTATATGGTTTCGTAGAAATTGTAGAAATACATCTTAGGGACATGGAACAACTGCCTAACAATCCGGACAATGCTTGGGAATATTGTAATAGAACAGAAGGCAGCAGAAAGGGGGGTGGTATTGGTCATTCATTCATAAAAGTAGACTGGCAAAGGGTCAAGCAGGGATGCATGGAACATTTATGGCTAAAAGAGAAAGTGGCAGGGTAAATGACGCTCCTGGGTTTTGCATACTTGTGAACAGGGGCATAAGGCAGAGAGGAAAACCAACAAAAAGTGCAATGCATATAAAATGGCATTGACGAACTAGGAGAAGAGCGCGAGCTAATTATATCAGGAGATATGAATGCGCACATAGAAGATATGATTGCATATACTGACCCAACAGGCAGAATGCTAATGGATATTTGTGAAAGGCATGATCTAATCATTTCCAACAGCACCGATAAATGTGAAGGGCAGATAGGTGGGAAGATTGCAGTCGATGATAGATTACGCAATAATGTCACATAGGATGTACGATCGGCTAACGGTGATGAACATATATGAATATGGGCCCAGAAGCTTAGGTAATGATCACAAACGTATCAAGCTGAATTTTGGTAGAGAAATGAAATTGGAAAGGTGACATTACGAGCAACCACACGGTAATAATTATTCTGAAAGGCAAATAGAAATAGCAACTAAAGAGATTGAGAAAATAATCACCGAGGATACTAAAACAGAGTGGACGTACCCAAATCTAACTTGATTGTTTGAGTTATAACTTGCTAAGGTACGGGTCAAATCAACCAGGACAAGCAGACACAAACCCAATAGCGGGAGGGATGAGGAAGTTAAGACAGTCATAGTAAGATGTCAGGAAGCCTCCAGAGAACACAGGTATGCTAAACAGAGGGGTTAACCGGAAGAGGATGTCGAAAAAAAATGGGATAACTTTTCGAGCTGCAGAAGGGAAGCGTCCGATTTGATCAGTGACAAGATTAGGAGAAAGGGGGCCCAATGGATGGCGGAAGTAAACAAAAAGGATAGAAAGGCAGCCACAAAGTTTTGCAACCATCTCAATTCTCTGAGTAAAGACAAGCATGAAACAGAGGTTTGTAACTATAGTTCAAGGAGTCGGACTAGAAAGGGATGAGGCAATGGAATATTTAAAAACAATGATGACAGAAAAATTTAAACACCAAGAAAACGCTGCGTGCACCATGCCTGATGAGGATGGACCAATTAGCTCAGTGGATCCACTGGGACAATGAGAGTGGGAAAGGGCTGAGAAAAGTGTTCCTAATAGCACATCAACAGGCCCTGACGGCATCCCAATAATGCTAATAAAGGAACTAAAACCAAGCTCTAAGCAAACATTAAGAGAGGCAGTGAGCAAAGAAATAATGAATGGTGAAGCTCCCAACGGGTGGAAACTAAGAAGGATTAGCATGATCTTTAAAAGAAAGGGGGATAAAGCTGATATAAACAACTACCGTCCTATAACAGTGACATCAGTAGTTTACAGGCTGGTGATGCAGATAGTAAAAGGAAGACTACAGACATGGGTTGGAAAATGAGGGGGTGCTGGGATAACTACAAAATGGGTTTCGTAAACGAAGGAGGTTGGAGGACAATCTATTTTCAGTGATTCAGTATATTGAAATAGTGGAAAAAGATCACAGGCCCCTGTGGCTGGCATTTCTAGATATCAAGGTAGCTTTCGATAGTGTGATTCAAGAAGACTTGTGGGGAATACTGGACACACTAGATGTGGAAGATCGAATAACTAATCGTCTAAAGGATATCTATAAAAGTAACAAGGTCGATACCAGATGGGAAGAATGGGTATCTGAACCTATAGCAATACAACGCGGGTTTCGACAGGGATGTCCCTTGTCGCCTTTGTTATTTATGCTGTATCTCCAGGGACTAAAAGCCAAATTATAGGGTAGTCGACTCGGCTTCAGCTTCTCTTTTGCCAAGCAAGGAAAACACAATGAACAGTCATTACCAGCATTGATGTATGCAGATTATATAGTATTAATAACCGACAACAAGGAAGATCTGCAAGGATTGATAGACATCTGTGGTAATGAGGGGGATAGGTTAAATTTGAAGTTCAGAAGAGAAAAGTCGGCAATCATGATTTTTAATGATAACAAAGGCAGTGAGCATAAGATACAGTAAGTCACGCTAGAAATAGTCGATGAATACAAATACATGGGCGCATCGATAAATAACGGGGCTGAGTATCTAAGGAAGCACGAATGATACGTAATGACTAAGGGCACCAGGAATGCAGCTGCAATGAAAAATACGGCACTGTGGAACTACAATAGGTATGACGTTGCGAGAGGGATATCGAAAGGTGTCATGGTACCGAGTTAGATGTTCGGCAGTGCGGTCTTGTGCATTAAATCATAAGTTCAGGTAAGATTGGAAATTAAACAATGTGGCATAGGTAGACTTGCTTTGGGAGCACACGGGAATACCCCAAATCAGGGGGGTACGGGGTGACATGGGATGGACATAGTTTAAGTGCAAGGAAGCTAGCAGCAAGATGGAATTTGAGGAGCGATTGAGAAAAATTGGCGAGGAGCGTTGGGATAACCAAGTTTTCAGTTACTTGTAAATGATGAATGTTGCTACTAAATGGAGGAAACGAACTCGAAAATTGTCAAGCAAGTATTTAAACAACAGCAGAATACCAAGCCAAAAGGAAACATCGGTTAAGAAGACGGTGAAGGAAACAGGGACGGACATATGTGGAAGATGGGAATGCTTACGAAATTATCACTGGAGACTTACCGAACTTTTAAGCAGGAAATTGCAAAGGAAAAGGTCTACGATGATTCTCGGGGTAGTTCTCTGCTTTTCGAGGCTAGAACGGGAGTATTGAGGACCAAGACGTACCGAGCAAAATACGAATGTAGACACGATATGTAGTGCATGTGTAGAGGAGGAGGAAACGGCTGAACATTTGATAACGTTCTGTAAAGGGCTCTACCCTATAGCCGAAGATAATGGCGCCGAATTTTTCAAAGCCCTGTGGTTTAGGGACAGTGAAGGCAAAACAGACTTTAAACGGGCAGAAATAACCAAGCGGATGCTAACTGATTGGTGGCTACAATCGAGGCACGAGTGAAAGTGAATCCTTAAACGCACAGTGATAGCACTTGACTTTATGGCTATGTGGTGTGAACCCCCACCCGGTCTAAAGGGCACAGCCGGATACATCCATCCATCCATCCATTGGCCGCCTTTCTAGTAAAAGCCGGTCACTTGGTACCCCACTCCTGCCTTCTGCCCGCGCTGTAATCTGATCGCCCTGCCCTTGCAGCGTCACCTCTGACTTGCTCCGAAGGTTTAAAACGAGTGTAAAAGCGTATTCACGGTGTGAATCTTATCAGAAGCAAGAGAGATTCATTGACAACATTTGCAGGTCCAAGCAAGTCAAACCGATGTCTTTGAGCGAGTGCTATGTGCATGCCGATGGTGAACAGCCGCCATTCTATGACATTAAAAGTGATGTGCCCACACGAATTTCACCGGTAAAACGCGCGTTTTCTGCGGCATTTGTGCCTTCCTGGAGCTGTCGGCAAACCGCCACCACGCTTTCCCGTGCGTTTGTATATAGCGTTCGAATTTCGATTACTTGAATGTCAAGTTTGTCACGCAGCTCTAAATGTATGAGGAGGTCAGTGTGAATAGACTAAACTTACGTGTGATCATTTCGATGTGGAGTGTTCCGTTTCATAAGAGTT